AGTCGTAATAGTAGCCCCTTCGTAATACAAGCCCCCCCTAAAAATTTTGAACACTCGGACAGTTTAGAAGCCCCGGAGGCTTCTATTATGGGGGGGGTTTACTGCAAGTATTAGTATTGATAATTGCAAAAAACAGAATTTATTTAGTGTGAAACATATAAAATCTGAACAAATGAATACCCTATAAAAAGAGATTAATATGGCAGGGCCTGCTAACAAGCCTACTCTTCAATTGCAGCAGGCAAAATTCTCACGAGCAGACCTGTGCAGGTCGGTAGGGAGCATCGTGACAGACCTATCTCTACAGAGGTATGGGACAGTGTCTACCACGATGTTCCTACAGACCTGCACAGGTCTGCTCGTGAGAATTTTGCCTGCTGCAATTGAAGAGTAGGCTTGTTAGTAGGCCCTGCCATAATAATCTTTTTTTATAGGGTAGACATAAGTTACTATAAAATCTTTATAGCTTCCTCAATAAGGGTTCTTTTAGTCTGAAATTTACACGAAATATCAAATTAATTTTTATTAATTCAAAATGTTTGTTAAAAATAACTGCTTTTTTGCATTCTCTACCTGAATATGATTTGCAATTGTGAAAAAAATCAACTACATCTATTTGTTGGCAGAGTCAAAGTTTCTATTAACGGGAACAGTTACCAGTTCTTTTCACTAGTTCTCAGGAACTTTAGAATCTGGAATTGTCCTACAAGAACGTTTTCTAGATCTATTCAGGAAATCTTGGTTTTATCACATTTTACCCAATTTTTTCTTCGAGAACATGATCCAATCAAGTTTGTTGGTCTACTTTGAATGTTTCAAAACTTTTCAGGTTAAGTGCACAGCAGTTTTTGTTTTCAATTATTCGTTCATCATTCCTAATTTCTTTCGCCACACTGCTAAACTATCTTCAAGGTGAATAATTGGTAGCTGTGTTCTTCTTTGAAGAAAACTTTGCATCTCAGATTAGCTAAGCTCTTTCTCTGTTGTATTTTCAAGTGGTGATTCGATAAATGACTGGAACGTGGTCTCAATATAGAAGTGAGATTGAGGCTAATGTCCTTTGGTTCGCCTATGAATTCTACCTTATTAGCTATTTTTTTCGAATAATCTTACTAGGAAAAGTCGAGGAAAACAGACATAAAAACTGAAAAAAGCATGAGTAAAACTGTCTTCATGTAGTTTTTTCAACATTTTTTTCTCTTACAGGTTCTGTCCATTATCTGAGTGGAAAAGAGCAAAAAGGTTAATGATCTTTCTACATTTTTCAGTACATCAAAGTCTTTTGAGTCGAATGATAAAAAACTGACATTTAGTTGAAAAACGAGCGAGTTAGGCCAGTGTTCTGAAACATTTCTTTTCACACACTTGCTTCACTACGGAAGAAAAAGCTGATTTGTCATCCTTCAGTGAAGGATCTTCACTATTGAATAAGTGAGCAAGCAAAGAAAAGACGATAGGAATCTAGGAAATAAGATATCTTATTTCTTTCTGCATAAGATATCCCATGCGGGTATATTTTTTTGTCTCAGCCCGTCGATAGAAGAGAAAGAGAACAGAAAGATTTATATATATGCGAAGAAAGATATCCTCTTTATCTGTCAGTTCTCTAATATAAAAACACATGGCAACAAGGAGCAGAAAAAAAACTTTTTGCTGATCAAAATATTCTTGGGACTTCTTCAAGATATTTCTTATCGCAAGAAATAGCAAGAAAGCCTTCAGGGGGCCGTATCACAAAAAAGCCTAAGTCTGACTTAAGTCTTCGTTATGTGCACTTATGTGCTAGTTTTATACACTTAAGTCTAGACTTGACTAAGTTTTTTTCGTGATATGACCCCTAGAGTAATTTCTTGGGCCAAGAAACAGGCAAGAAATGTCCCAAGGTCTTGCTTTCTTGGTATCAAGAGCTTTCACTAGCGTACATATATAAAACAGGATATAAACTATCAGCATCCAGAGAATTTCCAATTTCTACAGAGTTCTTGACATGAGATAACTGGGTGCATTTTGTTCAACAGACAACCTCATCGAATATACTTGTCTCCTCAAAATGAAAGGTTATACCATCTTCACTGACGCTTACATTCTAAGCTATCACGAAAATAGTCTTGTGGCTTTCGTCGTTGAAGTGCGCTGTATGGGCAATATCGGATGTCCCAGATTAAATAGCACCCTTAGTATTTCCTCTACAACTTTTTTTTGTTATGTTCTCAACTCTCAATTATTTTTCCATTAGATACGTTGTCAGATGCTGCTCTACAAAAACATCAGGAACATATTGTTGTAAACCACACAATATAAAATTAGAGGAAATGCTGTGAAACTTGAATCTCCATTACTTTGTAACCCAAAAGTCGCTTTTGTCAATTTTAGTCCTTCATAATTTGCCACATAAAAAGAAGCATATAGCCGTTTCATAGCTCTTCAAAAGCTCTATCAAGTGGCTATATTTAAAATTCTTTATGGTCACAAACGATTGAAAGAAAGTATTTTTTCTGTTACTGATTTTGGCAAAAATCATCATTTCTAAACTATCGTTCTAAAAAATTTCTGCAGAAACTTCAGCCAAAATCAAACATTGTGAGATTTGTTCTATCTTAAAGCAAAAGAATTTTTCTGCTATATCCTAACACAGAAAGTTCAATAGCTCTACTTCTTTTCCTTTCTTAAGGCGAACAAGACAAATTCTCACCTTTTTTTGGTAAATTTTAATAAAATCGCATTTTGTATCGCAAGAATAGATTCAAATCGAACCTATGACACACGAAAAGAAAGGCGATACTTCGCAGCGCCCGAACATCCATTTTGATTTCTCTTTGATGCAAGCTACCGTGTTGTTTTAAGATACCACCTGATGGAGATTCAAGTTTCACAGCTTTTCCTCTAATTTTTTATTTTGTGGTCTACAAAAGTATGTTCCTGATGTTTTTGTAGAGCAGCATCTGACGACGCATCTAATGGAAAAATAATTGAGAGTTGAGAACATAACAAAAAAAAGTTGTAGAGGAAATACTAAGGGTGCTATTTAATCTGGCACATCCGATAGGGCACTAATATCTTGCTGCTGGATACTAAAAGGTCATGTGACTGCTCATTAGAATTGTCGAAATTCTATTTTGACAAGAAAACTCTATATTATCAGATTGTTATTTGAAAAAACTTTTTGTCTGAATAAGTCAACGTGATATTTGAGTAAACATACGGTTTTGTAACGTACTTGATCGATATATTAGTCAATCCCATCCTTTTTTTCTACAACATTTTCTGATAAGCTCAACTTTCCTTCAAAGGTTGACAGCTTTCGAAATTAGAACAATTAGATTGTGAACTTTTGGCATCTAAAAAGTTAAAAACAAGTCTTGGATGAAGGCGAACTTGGTAATGAGCTCTAAACCATATGATAGAGACAGGAAGACTGCAGCTACAGATCGAGGTATTGTCGCTCCAACCTGATTAACACCGATTTGTTGATTATAACTCTTATGTATTAAGTGGACTATCTCTATTTACCTCATGCGTACTAGTGAAGTATTTCGTTTTACCTCAATCGGGGTGAAAGAAGACAGGTGAATAAGGCTCTTCGTATTTTGGATACGACTCGAAAACTACCAGACTTTCTTTGCATCAGCATGTGCCGAAATATTCGATCCCCATTATGTTTAAAAGCAGGTTTTTCCGCTCTTAAAACTTCTGAGAATTCAAAAACAAGTCCAAAAGCATCTTTTTTTTATCCTGAAGTACTCTATATCTAACTCACCCTGTATGTACTAAAGAGGACAAAATTGGAAATGTATTACACAAGTATTTTTAATATACAGGTCGAAACGCATACATAGCTCTCGCAACATAACCACAAATATTTAGCTAAGAAATGAGGGTGTCACGCATATTTTTGGGCGCTTTTTGAAGAAATTTTTTTTGTGAAAAGCTATGTAAAGCTATAGCTAAATAATAAATTTTTGCTAAAACCTGTGTCTTATAATTCTAGTCAAGATTCTCAGTTAGAATTTCAAGAGCTGAATATGTCATATTTGTAAAAAGAAATAGTCGAACTTTGAAAATCCATATACTTTTCGGAGCTCAGAAAAAATTTCGCGTGTAAAATAAAATGCCTTACTATCAATCGATTCAGAATTTTCAGTTCAATAAAATACTAAAATTTATTTTGAAAATAATATACTTGATTTGACAGAGAAAATATTAGAAAAAATTATATGTTTAAAAATAAATCGATTATTTCAGTTTTTCCTTATGGCCAACTTTATATATCATTTAGTAGAACAGCATTTTCTTCCGAATGGAATGTAAACTAAATTATAACCGTTTTGACATTTTTTGAGAAAATTGAAATAAATAGATGTCGGTGAAAAAGCACCGGTCTTCAGTGAGCGCAAGAGATTGCACAATCCATCGAGTGACATATTTTACGATTTTTAATTTTTGTCTCTGCTCCTTCAAACTAGATGTAAAAACATGAAAATTTTTCGGACTTCACTTTAGACATCGTTCACAGAGCAGATTATTGACTGAGACTCTTTCAAAAAAATGTCAGGAAATTTCAAGGCGATTGTCTAATAAGTGCCGATGCTTCTTCTTGATTATGTTGTGGTTTAAATTTGTTGTAAACAGCGATAATTAACAATGTGGCAAACACAACAATGGCTAGCATTATACAAAGCATCGTTAATGGTGTTTTTAAAACTAATAAACTTCCAGCATATAATGGACCGATCACTGTCGCAGTATTAATTATGAATCGTTGTAACCCTTGCCCTAAACCTTGATTTTCATTACGAATTAATTGTGTAAATATTGATGTTGATGTTACAGCAAGCAGAGGCAAAGCTAATATATCAAGAGCCACGAATAGGAGAAATACGGGCAAGAGTTTTGTTGAACCACGCTCAGTAAACGGAAGAATAATAACAGCAATCGTACACGCGATACCTAATACAACAAAACCAAATAGCAGAATTGTACGATCAGCACATCTTTTTGATGCATAATGTAAAATAATGTAAACTACTGTTATTTCGATTCCAGCGACGGCAAATAATATTGACACTTGTAGTTCTTTCCAATTAAATTGATAAGAAGTGAACGGTGTAAGTGTTGTTTCGAGAGCAGTTTGATTGAAATACGTCACGAAACTAGCGACAAGTAATACGAGAATTGCTGGCTTTTTACATATATCATAACACTTCCGTAGCATACTTGAAACTGTTGTTGAATCATTATGATTGGCCGCTACCGTACTATTAACTGTACCATCGCCAAACTCACTAGTCTAAACACGAAAAACAATGATTATAAATAACAACAGGGGAAGGCCAGCATTTAGTACCGATTTGGATACCGAAATATGCAAAGGATCGTTTCATCAATATTCTTAAATGGTGAGCAGTTAAATCTCGACTTAATCTTAGTTAAGAGTTTCTTTAATTCTTAGTGTTTCATCCAAAACCTTGAGTGTCGACTTAAGTCTTTGTTTTGAGCAAAGTACGCCTCAACTCCATGAAAAATAACCTTAAGAGCCTTCCCACCCATTTAGATTTTTTCATACCTCCCCAGTTTGTAGAGGATATCTCGAAGTATATGTCTTGAAGTTTTTTCGGCTTACTAACATTATTTGGCTGAGAAAAAAATTAATGAGGTCGAAAATTTTGTTAAATTTTTTAGTTCGGGGCTATTTTTAAAAAGATTCTTGATCATTTTCCATTCGTAACGAAAACTTAGGTCTTGCGTAGCTCAAAAGAGAAAATGTGTGAAGATATTTAGTACATAAAAAAAATTTTTAATTTTAAAATCGAGTTTAAAGAATCACGAACCAAAAATAGTCTCATTCATAGAAATTGACATTCTGAACAATTTTTGCAGCCACACTTTTGCTTCAAAATGCTTCATTTTTAAGATACTATGATCAAGGTTTTTTCAAAACACTTTTAGACCTAAAGTTTCATCAGGAAGATAAAAGTTAAATTTCTCCGTCATACTTCATCGTGGAACGGTGAATACTTTTTTTTTCTATATACAATTTGATGTCCTCTATCTGACGTTTAAGTTTATGAACTTACGAGTATTGATGACATGCCTTCTGTAGCTCGTAAAATTGAAGATTGAGAGCTCGAAACTATTGAACATGGATACTTGTCTAAGTACTTGATACGTAACTCACAAATACAAGTACTTGTGTAAAACCTCACAAGTAATTCAAGTGCGTATAAGTAAAATGTTAAGTACTTATCGACTTTCTCCAAGTAAATATGACCCAAATACTTCACATTTTAGTTAAGTATTTGTTTCAAAGACTTTTTTTGATATTGAAATATTAGAATGATTCAAAGTGTGTCTGTTTGCATTCAGATGGTGATGCGTTAACATGAGACTGGAGCCAGACACACTTCAGATCATTCTAATATTTCTCAAAAAAAAAACAGTAGTATCAAGGATGTTATAACGTGGTTATTAAGAATCGTTCCGACTTTCTCGAATGCTGAAAAGCGAACAAAAGTGCTAAAAGGTGATATGATAAAAATGTGCTTTTCCTTCCTTGATCAATAAACTTCTGTGAACATTTCTTATTGATTAGAGAATAACTTTGAGTCAAAACTGGCACATACCGTGGCTCTAGGTAGATCAAAGAAGAAGAATATTGTAATAAATTCTAATATAAACCACAATATTGCCATGATTAGACCGGGTGAATTGTACATTGTCACCTGTTTTGCTCCTATTTTAAAGTTCATCTGTTTCAATATAATTGTAAAACATGGTCCAAACAAAAGACCAATTTGACGACATGCTAATATTTTTGATAATAGCTGTGTTCGAGTTTTAGGTGTAGAGCGACGAGATAATTCAGCTAAAAGGGGGGGTACTACACCCATGCCAATACCAGCAATTAGTCGAGAAAGAATAATAAAATAAATATTAATACCGAGAAAATATAAAATATTTCCAACAATTTTAAATAAAAGCGAAATAATAACCAAACGTTTAAGACGATAACCTTTATCAGTTAAATATCCTAATATAATACCAGCAATTGCACCCGACAAGGCGAATACGGATAATAATAATCCTACAAAAAGGAAAATTGAACTTTTGAAATTTAGTGTATCATAAGTCATACATTGCATGTAAACATCTTTCTAATTCATTTATTCTTACCCATAACAACGCCACCATAATGAAACTGCATATATTGTTTAATGTAGCCCCATGCCGTAGGCAAAATTATTGCATAATCGATACCTAAAGATATTTTCTTTCATTAAGTGTTCATTATTTCAAATAAATTTTATTTTCATTTACCGGTTAAAAGTGATATACAACCAATGACAATTAATGTTGTTGTTCGTTCTCGTCTAGATTGGTATGTCAATGTATCAGTTTCATCATTTCTCATATCGTCTTTTGAGGAAATAATCGTATGATTTCCATTAAAAATGGCTTCATTTTTAATATCCGAATTTTGTTCAACAGGTTTTGAATTTTTTGGCGCTTGTTGATATTCTTGTTCATCATTAACAGATTGTTGTAATTGTTGTTGGTAATTAATATGATCCGTATTCATAACTAGAAAATAAGAGAGATAAAATTATTACAGAAAAATCTTCAAAACAACAACAATAATTTCTTTATCTATTTATACAACGTATGTAGTTCAATGAACTTAAACATAATAGCACAACAACAACAAAAAATAATTTGTCATATTTATATAGATCATTTTTCTTTTTTCTATAAATGTTTTTTCTAAGTTTATTACTTAATTGAATGACTAATTAGATTATTGAAAATGGTATATTTAATCGAAAGAGAATTTACTACGACAATGAACCATTTACAACAGAAGAAGATATTAAATCACAATTTTTGATATAGAATGACAATTGTCTCTCAACTATTCGATAAAAATACAAATGAAAAATCTACTTTAGACATGTCAATAACAATGTCAACAAACTCTGTGAAAAAATAACTGTAGCAGCTAAAATACTTTATATAACCAGTGACTTAGAGAGAGAGAAAAAAAATAATAGCTGTGGAGAATTACTAATGTTGGCAAATAAATGCTTTAGTCAGTCATTCATCATACAGATGATTTCTTGATTAACAGGAATCGTTTAAAAAATATGCATTTTTTCTTCTTTTCTTTGTTCTTGTTCTATATTTACACGTGTAAAGTCTCATGGCGATTTCCTACTCTACCTCTTCCAGAAAAAAAGTGGTATTGAGATTAGAGTCATATCTATCACAAAATTCAATTGTATATGATATCTTTGATTATTAGAGAAAATAGATGGATACTGTAACATAATAGTGACATAATATTCATATTCCGTATGATTGATGAAATTAAAAATCTTAATCTATATCCAACGTTTTGATTTTGTAAAATTGTTAATTATGAAAAGAGGTAAAAGTTGGCTATTACACGTGCTCTCAGAGTTATATTCTTACCAAAAAAAAAGAACAAAAAAACAATTTTATTCTTTATCCATATAGGTATTATACAGTCTAACATATTTCTGTTTTGATATTTATTTATCTTTCATGTATTATACCAAAAAAAACAACTCTCAGCAATTCAACCATTAAAAGTTAGCACCATTCTCTCTGTTGTTTTTTTTATCGTTCGAGAATAAAAAGCCACTTGACTAACAGCATATAGATAAAATCAGTCAAGAGTCTCTCTTTTTAATCAAAAATTACACAAAAGAAAAACGAAGGAAATAAGATTATTTATATATGGAGAGACATGGCTATAAAGAAAGTGGTAGAATGATGAGAAGGACATAATACACATGCAACCTATCTGAGAAAAAGAAGAAGTTATTTTTAATATACTTATGTAAAAGATTACCTTAAAAAAAAATCTATATCTTTCTTATTCAGATAAAAACGTTTGTTCCAATCGGAAATAGAAATTTATTTTTAATTTTTTATTATTTTGTTCAATAAAGTAAATGGGGAGGGGGGGGGGAAATACATACATGGCACTCTTACCGAAGAAATCTTTTCTTAAAATTTATTTTTATGATTATTTATATTTACTTTGGAATGAAAACAATCAATAAAATATTGTTTGTCATAACATAACAGGTCAAACTGGAGTGAGCGCTTATAAATAGTACGATAGAGTTTTATATATATCTATGCACACACTTTCATGACCAAAAACGTCAGTGTATTTCTTCTTATGCTTTGGATATTTATATAAAAAATCTCGCATATACATACATAAAACAACAAGAAAAAAAAATAGACACCTTTTGTTGTACTAACATTTCTTTCACATGTACAGAAAAGAACAAAACAGAAAGAACTGTAATTTTACGATTCTCTTTTATTTTCTTTCTCATAGTACCGTCAGTTAAATTCGTTTTATTCTTTGATAAATGTTTGATATGAAAAAAAACAAAATCTGAACTAAGTCTACATCCGCTTTTGTGAACTTTTAGATTCGAACTTTGAGACTAGAGTCGAGCTTAAGCCAAAATGATATTGATTCGAGATCTATTTGATAGTTATTGTATTTCTATTGTTTCATTCTTTGAAAATTTTCTTCTTTTCACAATGTTTGAAGTAAAGTTAAGAACAGAGATTGTAAAACAATGGAAATTACTATGCATAACTTTTTGCTTTTAAAAACTAATAGTCAAGATTCTTGCTTCTACTATCAATTCGAAATTCTACTATCTTTTCCTGTTGTTGCTTTTTCCGTTAGTCATAAAATAGTTCTAAAATCAAAACAATAAACAAATATTGTTGAAATATGTCACTCACTCATTTTTAGAAAAAGTAAAATATCTTACTTTCGTTCTCTGTGTTAGTAAAGCGTTCAAGATCTTGTTAATCTATATATCGTTACAACGTTCAAACTAAAACATAACTATATAATTCTCCATTAATAAAATTTTCGATTTAATGATACACATATTAAGCTTCTAAATCATCATTTTAACATACAGATTTTATAATATGAATGCCTGATAAGAATACAGAAAAAAAAAATGTTTTTATGAAAAATAAGAAATTATTGACGAATGTGAAATAAAATAATGAATGCTTGATTAATACAATCTATACAGAGAGAGAAAGAGTCAGAGAGAGAATGTAGATTAGCTAGGGGAGAAAAATATAATTTTGACATTCGAACAGAGATGAAAAGATTTCCGATTGTTTTTGACAATGACAGGGCATATGAATCAGAAAAATGTCTTTATATAAGAAGGACGACTTTGTCTATGGAGAATTTGTTGCTGTATGATGAAAACAAGTAGTCGATTTCTACAAGTCTTATCTTTATAAAACAAATCATCAACTAAATGAAGTATTATCATGTCCTACGATTGAGAAAGATAAAGGAGTCCATAATACACATTCTCGCAGAGTTGGTAAAGTCTAGTTCAATTCAGTAACAAAATTTGTTTTACCTAATATAAAAAGAAATTGTGTTGACACTATTAAATTACTTTCCGACTAATTATCTTTTATTGAGAATGAATAATTCGTTGAAGGGGGAAACGGCAGCTGTGGGAGCTTTCCGGAGTCGTTGAAATGCTTTTCGAAGCTTGAGATATTCAGCATCCGATGTTGATGCAATGCTCTCTGATGCTCTCCGATCCTAAGAAAGAAAAAGGCCGATTTTTCCACCTTGAGTTTGTTTTACATTTATCTGTTCATAGAACCAAAAGCTTATATAATGTTAAAATACGGCTAAGAAGAGACAATATAAACCAGTATATTAAATTTGTTTGTTTTTTGATGTCGTGTATGCTTTCACTGTTATACACTAATTCACATAAATGTTTTCATTATTCATTAATAACAGTACGCAACAAATGTGTGAAATTTTGTTTCTGTTGATCAATTTACAATGGTAGGTGCCAGAAACAGAAAATTTGATTTTTCACTAACAGAAATATGTTTTTGGATTATATTTTCAGTATTTCGTACAGGTCAGCATCAATTACGTGATATTCAATGTCTTAATCAGTTGTGGGGCACATTTGCTTCTCTGGAACATGATTAAGGAAAATATATTGACTTGCAGTGGATTCTAGTTCGCTCTTGTTTGCCCATTGCATCAACAAGAATGAAAGAATGGTCAAGAGTGCAAGCTGGAGGCTCATTGGACCACACGTTGTCGTTCTGTCAAGCACTCAATGGCTCATTCTACATGAAACATTCGGTCCATGAAATACAAGTATTGCTTGAATTCTATCAATTAGATAGTATACCACTGAGATCGCTTGCCCAAAATGCTGTTCTAATATCAAACCGAAGATAAAATTTTGTGTTTGACAACTCGTCTAACGAGGAAACCTATGGACATGTACCCCTCCGCTTTCATTCATCCATACGTCGATCGATAGAGGATATCGAGGTTGTAAAAAGCTAAAAAAAAGATTCGAGCCGATAGTTTTTCCTTCGAAAGTTATAGGCATTTTTCTGTTTTTCCCAGCGAAAAATAGAAAAATTCATATATCCGTCCAGAAAACTAGTTAAGAGCTCAAATTTCTTACTATGGCTCTTCTATATATCTGTGATATTCATACAAAGTCTCACCTTTACAACTCATTCCATTTTCGAGTTATTGAATTTTAAGTTTTCCATAGATTAGCCCTTTCACAGGCTCACAATATAATGACTTCCCAAATCATTAGTTTTCCACTAGAACTGTTGAAACTTTCATAAATGACATGGTTTTGATCTGCACACTCAGAAAACTAATCGAAACTATATAACTTCAATGTTTTGTAACTCCGATTTTCAAAGAGGTCTCCATACACCTTAGCATCTACAGCCAGCTTGAGAAACCTTTTTTGTTTTCATAAACGAAATTAGACTACAAAACCATGTCATTTATGAAAGTTTCAACAGTTCTAGTAGAAAACTAATGATTTAAGAAGTCATTATATTGTGAGCCTGTGAAA